ATTTTTATGGTACTGTTGACTTATTTCAGTTATCACGCAGATTTCAGCGTTTAAGTAAATAAAAACTTACATATTGTAAGGCTATGACACATATAGTTTTGAAGACACCAACTTGTTCACAAGCCTCATCAAACTTGTTTTTCAACCAATTTTCACTGTAGTCTAAGCCAGCACTTTCTGCCTTCTAAAATGTGAGCTATCTTGTCCTTAAAAAAAGAAAGGCATAATGTTTGCGTAATCAAAAAAAGTTTTGCCTGAACAACAGTTTTATTGCCATTTAAAAGTATACTCTCAGTGTCATACCGTAACCATGTCCACGCAAACGTTGCAGATCAAAGCATCAAGTAGAGGATCTTGCTCCACTAAAGCAAAAGCAGCTGCGATCACAGCGGATAGCACAATTAAAGTACGCATCTGAAAAAATTCTAAAGCTTTAGAATGATCATCTAGCAAACTTTGTAACAGCACCAATTCACTATACGTGAATGACCAATAAAAGCTTTTGAGTAGTTCAGTTGAATAATCTAGTACTGTTAAACCGTAGTAGACGACAAGTTTAACAGAAAAGGAAGAAACTAATTAGCTTTAAGTAGTAAATTTTTGCGCAGGCAAAAACCAATGTAGAACCATTCATTCAATATAAAAAAAAATGCTCAAAAGGAACAGTGTGACAACTTTTGTTGGACGAGAAGCTCTAAAACATGACTTTAACTGGAGGTGATAACTACATTTATAACTTCCAAAAATGAGCAAATTACCAGTGTAGCTAATAAAAGCGACCATTTTTCAAGCTGTAGTTGTTCGTTAACTATATCGTAGACTTGTCCTGTTGTTGTGACCAACGTCTAAAAAAGTTTTCGTGCATTTATTTATTCTTGAGAACAACAAGTCAGTATTTTGTTACTTGAAGCATACAGTGTTTAAGTATTTTAAATAAAAGAAGTGAAATAGATTTTTTAACACCTACCAAACAATTTAAAAACGATAAATTGATTAGAAGCGCATTTTGATTATTCAAATGTAGGTTTTAAACTGTTTGATAAAAAATTCACAGGAAAAGCATTTTGTTTCATACATTGGAAGCATACAGAAAAAGAATTTACGCTAAAGTTAACGTGAAAAAAAGGGATTTTTTATGTGTTTCTATGTAATTTTAAGATGTAAAAGTCTAACAAAAATAAAAAAAAAACTACTGTAATTGGCCGTTGTCAAGTCAAACTTTTTTTTTTTATGCTGCAAATTTTATCAATGACACTTTGAAGGTTACAGAGTCGGGTCGCTTTTCAACAGTATGCGACCAATTGTTTAGCTTATAGCAAAAAATATTTGACAAAAAAAATGCGGATGTTAAATTTTTTTTTTTCTGATTTTCGATGTCTAAATGTCAAAAAAAAAATTTTTTTTTTCTTCTGAAGCAATTAGAATATACTATTGAATTGTGAAATTGAGTCTCCGGAACAGAAATGCATTTTTTGTTGCGTTTGTGCTGTCTTCACAGAGGAACAAATAGAACATAATAAGAAAATTAAGTATACTTATTACGATTAAAAAAAAAAAA